TGCAAGTATTTTCTCCCACAGGAGGTTGTCTCTTTATTCTTGCATCATTCCTGTTCAGAAGCATTTTCTGTTTTAAATAATCGTATTTGCCTTGCTTGGGGGGAGGAGTTCTTAAAAAGTATTTGAAGGGCTAATGGTTTGGCAGGTAAAGCTGGTAAGTCTGATGACCTGAGTTCACTTCCCAAAATTTGCGTTGTGGAAGGAGAGGACTGGTACCACAGTTACCCTTTGATGTCCACACGTATGCTGTCGCACTCTTGCCCAAACACACGTAAATCAATAAATAAGTAAATATAAATGCAGGGAAGTGGAGGTAAAGGATCATGAATTTGAAGTCGGCCTAAGCAACCTAGTGGTTCCAGTCCAAGCTACATAGTGACATCATGTCTCCAACAAATCAAATCAAAACAAGATGAGTCTTTGCCAACACCAACATGCGCCCTACATTTCCTTCTAGTAGATGCATGTTTTTAAGTCCTGCTTTTGTACATTTTTCCATCCTGTCACTATTGGTTTATGTGTGTCTTCAGTTTATTATAGAGAGTGTATCAATGGGACTTGGTTGTAGTCCATTCAGCCAGTTGGTATCTTTTAGCTAGGGGATTGAATGTCTTTCTATTACATGTTTTCTTGGTCATCTGTGTGAACTGTGCTCCTTCCTTTTGTTATTCATCGCTGTGGTTTGATGGCTTTCTGTTCTGAAAGGTTTCTCCTTTTCCTCTTTGTGTATATGCTCTCCTATTGAGTTCTGTGCTTCCAGATGTCTTCAGAGTGCAGTTATCGTCTGTCACCCCAGCGTAAAATTCCATAAGCATCCTTTTAGAAGTAATTTGTTAGTGATGAATTCCCTGCTTCTTCTTATCTTGGAAAGACTTTATTTCTTCTTCATCTCTGAAGGATAGCTTTGCTGGTTAACTATAAAGATAGTTATAAGGCTGGGCGGTGGTGGCGCACGCCTTTAATCCCAGCACTCGGGAGGCAGAGGCTGGCGGATCTCTGTGAGTTCGAGGCCAGCCTGGGCTACCAAGTGAGTTCCAGGAAAGGCGCAAAGCTACACAGAGAAATCCTGTCTCGAAAAACCAAAAAAAAAAAAAAAAATAGTTATAATATTCTTGATTGGCAATTCTTTTCTTTCAGAATTTTGAATATATCACCCCATTCTCTACTGTCCTGCATGGTTTCTGCTGAGAATTCTGCTGTTTGTTTAATGAACATTTCCTTATATATAACAACTTATTTCTTTTGTTGTTTTTGAATTTCTATCTCATACTTTTCCGTTTATTTACTATGTATATGTATATGTATATGAATGTGTCTGCACTACAGTCTGCAGGTGGAGGTCAGGGGACAGTCTGAAGGAGTTGTTTCTCTCCTTCCACTACGTAGATCTTAGGTATTGCATTTAGGTCACTGGGTTGACAGCAAGTATCCCTACTTGCTGAACCATCTTTCCAGCCTGTCTTGTCCTTTCGACAGGCTATAATGTATCCAGAGAGGATCTTTGTTGGTTGAATCTGTTAGAATTTGTTGAGCTTCCTGGATGTAGATACCCATATCGTTCCCAAGGATTTTAAAGTTTTGGGCGGCTGTTCTGTTGTGTTTTCTGTGTCCTTCTTCTTCTGTTCTTCTGAAACATGCACAATGCAAATAACTCAGTTGGACTTTGCTTGAGCCTCATAGGCTTCCTTCATGCATTTTCAGTTCTTCTTAATTTTTTTTTTGCATTGGATTATTTTAAAAAGTATGTCTTCTTTATGCTCAGAAGCTATCTCTTCTGCCTACTGAATTGTATTTTCTGACAGTTATTATGTTCTTCAGCTCCAAGAATTTTGTTTATTTCTTTTAGGATCTCTACCTCTTTGCTCAGTTTCATTCACATTATCTATTATTTCCTAGTTTCACTGAATTGTCTGCTTGCATTCTTTTATAATTTCAAACACTCTTTTTAAAAATTATTATCTTGAATTCTGTTTCAGGCAATTCACTGATTTCCTTTCCTTTGGTGTGCGTGTGTGTGTGTGCACGCGTGCATGTGTGTGTGTGTGTGTGTGTGTGTGTGTGTGTGTGTGTGTGTGTGTTTGTGTGTGGTGTCTGTTGCTAGAGTGTTCATTTGGAGGTGCCATATTACCTTGTTTTTCACGTTTAGTGACCCTACATTGACATTTGTGCATTCCAAAGAGGTCAGTTTCTCTCTCTCAAGTTTATAGACTGGCTTTCACAGTCAAAGTCTTTCTCCTGATGTGTCACACAGTACTGATTGGATAGACTGTGTTGGGTTGGTACTCTAGTGTAGACCTTCTATAGACTCTCCAGCTATTGTCGATGTTGGTGATGTATGTCTTAGTGACATAGGCTACAGGGTTTGTGGGATTGCACACAAATTCTCATGCATCTTTTTTAGGTAAAGCAAGATTGCTAGTAGTTCTGGGTACTACTGTGAGGGTGGGGCGTGCCTACCAGTTTCTACAGATGATATGAGAACAGGGTCACCCCATGGGTCTAAGTAGGAATGGCACAGCATTCTCATCAGTAGAGCAGGGTGATATCAGTGTCTGAAGCTTTCATGGGACTGAGCTACGAGCAAGCATAGATGCGGTATCTACAAGTGATAGAAAATCATGGATGACATTGTGGGCTCAGAACAGGCTGCTAATCTGCCTCTCAGAGACTCAGTGGGTGACCTTCTGAGGTAGGCATATCAACTAATTCTTGAGGGCTGCAGAAGGATGTCCAGGGCCACTTAGAGTCTCGGGTATGGCTTCTGTGGACTAAGCTACTCAGGAACAGAGAAGCTTCTGTGGGTGAGCCATACAGTCATGACTGTTTGCTATCTGCTTTCCATGTGTTTCTTGGGCAGTAGAAAATGGGCCTTTGTAGACCAAGTTGTTCAACATAGGCTGCCCAGGAGCTCTCCAGGGGTGTGGGAAGGTAGGCAGAGACACCTGTATATTTCACAGAAGTGGACTGGCTAAGCTGATAGAAGCAGTTATCTGGTTGCATCATAAACCCTAAGGTGGGCAGAATCCCAAGATGGCCCTGTGGAGCAGGAGTCAAATGGGAAGAGTATAACATTGGATTAGGCTCTTCTTTAGAATAATTTGGTGGTGTAGTAAACAGGTTACCCAAACCTGGCTCTGGAACTGAAAAGGCTGTGGACTCTCCAACACCAAGCATGGTGTGAGAGAAGACTACTGGTCACCTTTTCTCTAATAAGCAAAGCTCCTCTTAGTTAAGAGTTGGTCTTGAGAGAGAGGAGGGTAGATGCTAGTTCCTTCTTTCTAAGGTCATCGTGCATTTCCATGGTTCTGCAATATTTTTGCCACATGTCACTTTATTCCAGCACCCCATGCAAACATGCTGATGAAAATAGTGTTCTTTTCCTTATACAGAGGGGAGGACATCAGATACGGCTCATTGGCTATCTTCCTGACAAAACCTTCTTAGTAGAAATAGTAATTTATTTAGCTTGTTTTAAGCTATGCCTACTGTAACCTCTAGGGCCATCACTAAAAAGCAGAGGGGGAAAAGAGACAGGGTCTAATAAATACTTTTTAACTGGTAAATATTTACTTGATTAAAATAATTTAAGAAATAGGAAATAGAGGATGAGAGAATATACAAGCAAATAAAATCAAATAGATGATAGACTTCATCCCAGCTATATTAGTAATTATAATAAATATAAATATAAATATTCCAACTAAAACACCACTATTGTCAGGCTTATTAAAAAAATTTCAAAAATTCTCCTATATGAAATTTATAAAAAATAATTGTTTCCAGATGTGATAGTACACACCTGCTGTCTCAGTCAGTGTTCTACTGCTGTAAAGAGACACCATGGCAACAGCAACTCTTATAAAAGAAAGCATTTAATTATCATGGCAGGGAGCATGTCAGCACACAGGCAGACATGGTGCTGGTGAAGTAGCTGGGCATTCTGTATCTGAATTCGCAGGTATCAGGAAGAGAAAGGAACTCTGGCACTGGCTTGGGCTTTTGAAACCTCAAAGCCTATCCCAAGTTACACACTTCCTCCAATAAGGCCACACCTCCCAATCCCTCTCAAGTAGTGCCATTCCCTAATGACCAAGCATGCAAATATATAAGCCTATGAAGGCCATTCTAATTCAAACCACCACCCCAGGAATCTTAGTACTTAGGGGGTGGAGTCAAGAGAATCCAAAATTCAAAGCTAGCCTGTCTGGGGTAAAGTGGGAGATCTTGACTCACAAAACCAAAATCCAAAACAACAACAACAAAAGATACACATGTAAACAAAACAAAACAAAACAAACTCTCAGAAGTTAAAATAATAAATGGGGAAAAGATGTAAAGGCTTTTGTATTAGTTACTTTCCCTTTTGCTGTGACAGGATAGCCTAACACAAGCAACGAAAGGGACGAAGCATTTATTTTGGTTCCCAGTTCTAGGGTTCAGTTTACCATGGTGGGGAGGTCACAGTGACAGGAGCTTGAGACAGTCAGGAGTCAGAGGACATTGAGCAGTTATGCTCAGCTAGCTTCTTCCTCTTTATATAACCAAGGACCAAGGCCAGGGGAAAGTGGCCCACTCCTCTAGGGTGGGCCTTCCCGTCTCAATTAAACCAATCAAAATAATCCCTCACAGGCATGCCCAAAAGCTAACCTAATCCCAAAGATCCCTCACAGATGTGTCTGGAGGCTTGTCTCCTACTCAATTCCAGATCCTAACAACTTGATCATCAACACTTAACATTACACTCGAGGGTCTGGACAGACTACCATTCAAAGAGTGATCACAGTACTAGTGTGGCTATGCTATTAGGAAAAGTAGACTTTAAGACCAGCAAAAGGATAAGAGGGTCAATTCAACAGATACAACTACTACATTTTCACTCACTTGATAACACAGCTCCGAAACATACTGAACCATGAATGAGATGATTACCACATTATTGTTTTTTGAGGCAACTGCCTAAAGACCATTAGTGGATTTACGACTGATATTTTTAACCACAGGTTTTTTACAATCCCCCCTGCTCCCCTGGCCAAAACAGACACTTGGCCAAAAGATGTGGGCATCCTTGCCCTGGAGGTCTACTTTCCAGCCCAGTATGTGGACCAAACGGACCTGGAGAAGTTCAACAACGTGGAAGCAGGGAAGTATACGGTGGGCTTGGGCCAGACCCGCATGGGCTTCTGTTCGGTCCAGGAAGACATCAACTCCCTGTGTCTGACCGTGGTGCAGAGGCTGATGGAGCGCACAAAGCTGCCATGGGATGCTGTGGGCCGCCTGGAAGTGGGTACCGAGACCATCATTGACAAGTCCAAGGCTGTCAAAACGGTGCTCATGGAACTCTTCCAGGATTCAGGCAACACTGACATCGAGGGCATCGACACCACCAACGCCTGCTACGGTGGCACCGCCTCCCTCTTCAATGCTGCCAACTGGATGGAGTCCAGCTACTGGGATGGTATGTGTTTCTAGGGCGTTACAGAAGCATGGCTCTTAGAGTAGAGGCTGAATCCTACGTTCTGCTTCTCAGCTCTCTGGAGAGCTTTACACTGGGAAGGGAAAGGCAATTTATTCATACAGCTCTCACCCAACAAAAACAGTGAGAATAGCCAGGTAGATGGGGACAGCTTTGTGCAGTTGATCACGTGATGTGTTCATAATAGCCTTTCATTTATTCTGTGCAGTATCAACGCCTTTAGGGTGGTTCTTCTATTTCCATTAACCTAAACGAGAAGATCCCTCACGATATGCCCAGAGGCTGTCATGGTTGTTATAAATCTCATCGAGGTGACAAGCAAGATTAAATGCCACACGGACTGCAGAGGCCAAACTCCAAACCAAAATCCAACACATTTCTCCATGCTTAGTTCTCTTTATTGTCTCCTAAGTCTCCGAAACAAAGATATCTGTACACGATTTCTATGGTAAGGGGTGGACACTGGTCAAAATGGGTTGAGAGATGCACAGGAGGGATGGTGAACCGAGTATCTTTCTCCTTCTCCGGAGCCTGCTTACGAAATGTGGGCTTTTGTTTAACATATTCACATTGCTTTGTAGCTTACTTACATCCTTCCCCAGAGTTACATTGGTGGGATACTGCCTGTCAAGATGGCAAGGAAAAGTCCAAGAGAAAGAGTCTAAGATGAGAGTTAGATATCTAAGGTCACTCAGTCACTTAGTGTTCTATTGCTGTGAAGAGACACCATGACCACAGCAACTCTTTTTGTTTTCTTTCATTTTTCTTTATTAAGAAATTTTCTACTTACTCCACATACTATCCACAGATCTCCCCTCCTCCCTCCTCCCATCCCCCTCACCCTCCTTCCCAAGCCACCCTGCATGCCCACATCCCCCAAATCGAGGTCTCCCATGGGGAGTCAGCAGAGCCCAGCACACTGAGTCTAGGCAGGTCCAAGCCCCTTCCCTCTGCACCAAGGGACCACAGCAACTCTTATAACAGAAAACATTTAACTGATCCTGGCTTACAGTTTCAGAGGTTTTAGCCCATTGCCATTATGTCAGGAAGCATGGCAGCATGCAGACAGACATGGTGCTGGAGAAGTAGCTGAGAGTTCTACATCCAGATCTGTAGGCAGCAGGAAGAAAGAGACATTGGGCCTGGCTTGAGTTTTTGAAACCTCAAAGCCCACCCCAAAGACACACCTCCTCCAGAAAGGCCACACCTCCTAATCCTTTCAAATAGTGCCACTCCCTGGTGACTAAGCATTCAGGTACATGAGCCTATGGGGGCCATTTTGATTCAAACCAACACAATAACTTCCTGGAGCTTCCAAGTTCTTGTTTACCTTTCTGTCTTTTGGGGCTGATGAAAGGATTGAATACAGTAATGAATAGGAGTGTGAGAGACCTTGGGGGTCTCTGTATTTACTGAGTTTGAAACTAGGCTAAAAAACATTGAAAACTGTAGTGAATGCTAATTACAAAATTATTTGAAGGTTCTAATGTTGCCATGGGAATATATAATCCAACATTCTTTCCATTAAGTAAAGAGGCCAGGGCTGCAGGGAGGGCTCAACGATGAGAGTACTTCCAGTGCCAGCGTGAGGCCCAGAGTTCGGATCCCAGATCCCAAGTCAAAGCTGGGTGGGCATGCACATGCACAAAAACAAAAAGAAGCCGGTCAAGAAGCTGGGCAGCGGTGGCTCAGGCCTTTAATCCCAGCACTTAGGAGGCAGAGGCAGGCAGATCTGTGAGTTCAAGGCCAGCCTGGTCTACAGAGAGTTCTAGGACAGCCAGGACGGCTTCGCACAGAAACTGTCTCAAAAAACAAAAAACAAACAAACAAACAAAAACCCCAAAACAAACAAAGGAAGAACAAAAAGAAAAGAGACTGAATGACATAAAAAGGGGGGCTGGAAAGACGACTCATTAGACAAAGGCGCTTGCCGCCAAGCCTGATGATCTGAGTTGGGTCCCCAGACCTCACGAGGTGGAAGGAGAGGACCCTAATAAGCTGTCCCCTTGTTTCTTTTTCACTTGACTTTTATAAATGAAGGAAAATAGATTTTTGGAAAACTTGATCATAAAAAAGTTGGAATTAAAAAGGCACACACGGAAATTCACCAGACGCAAAGGCTGTTCAACTCAGTGAACTTTTCTGTAGTTAGAATAGCCACTCAGCACAGACACTGTAGATTTTATACTTTCACTGTTGAAAGTATTTTATGCACTTATCCACCACCCAAACCAGAAACTCCATGACAGAGTTCGAACTAAAAACAGAATTAGCTTTATAACTCACGGCCATGACCTGCATCCAGTCTTCCCCGTCCCTTCACACTTAGCCTGTCTTCTTCTCTGCCTTCTTCTCTTTCCTGCACGTTGTTACTACTTACATGCACATTTGTTTGCATATAGACAAATATTGACTACATTCCACATCTGAGGGAAAACATGGGTTTTTTTTCTATCTTTCTGAGATTGTGTGACCTCACTTAATATTACATATTTTAAGTCCATCCATTTTCTTGCAAACTTTGTGATTTTGCTTTTCTTCAAAGCTGAATAATATTTTATGTATAAAAAATTTCATTGTCCACTCAGCTGTTGATTCCAATTCTTTGTGATAGTGAATAAAGCTGCAATAAACCTGGGCGCAAATATCTCTGTGGGAGAGTACAGAGATTTCTGGGTATATGTCCGGGAGTGAAATAGCTAGGTCCTATGGGAGTTCTATCTTCACTTTTTGAGAAATCTCCAAACTTATATCCATGGCAGCTGTATTAATTTGAATCCCCACCAACATTGAATAAGTATTCCTCTCTCTCCACAACCTCTCCAGTGTTTGTTGATAGATTTATTGATGACGGCCATAATGACTGGGGTGCTAAGGTGGCATCTCAGTGTCATTTAATCTCACACTTACCTGATGGCTAGGAATAGTGGACACTTCTAAACTAATTATTGGCCACCCATGCTTCTTTTTTATGTTTTTGAAAAGTGTCTATTGAGTTCGCTCATTTGTTGACTGGGGGTTTGATTCCCTTGGTATTTAATTTCTGCAATTCTTGATAAATTCTTGATATTGACATACTGTCTGAAGTATAGCTGGTAAAGATTTTCTCCCAGATTATGTGAATATATATTTTAGGTCATTTTTCTCTGACACAGCTTCTTTTTTTAATGAAACTTTTATAATGAAGGAAAATAGCTTTTTGTTGGTTATAACTATTGTAAATACTCTTCAGTTTATCTTTTGGTTTTGTCTCTACCTGGAGGTTTGGTTTTTTACAGCTAAATTTAAAGGTCTTTTGTAGCTAGAGTTTTCCTGCCTGGCCCACAGTCAGGACAAATCTCTCTCACCTGCCAGTCCCACAGCTGCTCAGACCCAACCAAGTAAACACAGAGACTTATATTGCTTACAAACTGTATGGCCGTGGCAGGCTTCTTGCTAACTGTTCTTACAGCTTAAATTAATCCATTTCTATAAATCTATACTTTGCCACATGGCTCGTGGCTTACCGGCATCTTCATATGCTGTTTCTCATCATGGCGGCTGGCAGTGTCTCTCTCACCCAGCTTCCTGTTCTCTCAATTCTCCTCTCTGTTAGTCCCACCTATACTTCCTGCCTGGCCACTGGCCAATCAGTGATTTATTTATTGACCAATCAGCAACACATTTGACATACAGACCATCCCACAGCACTTCCCCTTTTCTTTTCTTAAAAAGGAAGGTTTTAACCTTTACACATCTCCAAAGTCAGCTTGGTATATTTGGGAATTTGGGAGTAGCTTCTCTTACTACTTCCTGCTGGAGGGGGGCGCTGTATCTTATGGGGACACAAAGAATATTTTAGGATTATGGAGTAGTCCATGAAGGTGTATCGTCTGAGCCAGTTGCCTTGAAACCATTCTGGATGTTGAATTATCTGGGCCATGGTGTCATCGGAGACCTTTCAGGGGGTCTTGGCTGGTCAAACCTGATGTATCTTAATCTGGAACAAATCCATAGCCTCTGGCTTTCTGTGGAAACAAAAGCAGAGCCTCCTTTCCAAAGCAACATATCCTTACATCCAAATTTTGAAGTCAAGGTACCTTTAAAATATACATTTTGGCACAACTCAACAGCTTTTGTAATCAAATGTTTTCCTAAGTGACTTCTAAGTACTTTTCTATAGTTTCTGAAATTTTCATATTGAGAGTGAAAAAATAGATATATACAAAAAAATGTTATTTTATTCTCCAATCACACACATGTACAGCCTGAGGGGGACCCCACTACTTTTTTCTTGGGGTTTTTATAATTACTGAGAGGAGGGCCTTGGACTTCAGTGAATGTGAGTTAGAGTCTTGATCCTCAAAGCTTTATCTTACCATTTAATGTTTTAAGTTCTTTGAGCCTCGATTCCTTCCTTCTGTAAGGAGGGGATCACTAGGGTGTGACTCAGTGGGAGAGTGCTTGCCTAGCATGCCTAAGGACTCAGTTCAATCTACAGCACTGCCGGAACACAAGGATCTTACCGCTATCTACTATGTACCCATGGCTTAGGATTCAGTCAGAACGGGGTTTGAATTTCAACGTCTATAGCCACTAGGTCGGTGGTTCTCCATCTCCCTAATGCTGTGACCCTTTAATACAGTTCCTCATGCTGTGGTGACCCCCAACCTTAAAATTATTTTCATTGCCATTTCACAACTGTAATTTTGCTGTTATGAAATAACAGTAATGTAAATATCTGTGTTTTCCAAAGGTCTTGGGCAACCCCTGTGAAAGAATCATTCATTCACAAAGGGGGCAAGACCCACAGGTTACAAACCACTGCATTAGCTGAATGCTCCAGGTAAATTTCTCTGGAGGCAGCATCTTCAGCCTTGAATGTTGGTATAGCTACCTATCCCCCGATGTCTTGTCCTTCTATGGGCTAGCAGGCATATGAACATGTGGGTGCTGTAAGTTGATTGGTACAAGCCTAAACTGTCTCCACAAGTACCAATTAACCAAGTTTTAGGTGAATTTAGAAATGGCATTCTGGCCAGCCATGGTGGCACAAGCTTGTCATCAGCCACTAGCTGATGCAGGAGGATCTTGAATTGGAGGCCAACCTGGGCTATGTAATGAGACCATGTCTCAAAAACACTGAAAACAGGTATGGAGACTGGTTCAGCAGTTACAAGCACTTGCTCCTGCAGAGGACCTGGGTTCAGTTCCCGGTACCCACATGATGGCTCACAACCACCTCTAATTCCAGTTCCAGAGTATTCAACCTCATCTTCTGACCTCTGTGGGGACCAGGCACACACGTGGTTCAGACACATGCATGAAGGCAAAACACTTATACACACAGACTTGAAATAAACAAATAACTAAAAAATTAATGCTTAAACCCTAAAAGTGGAAACAAAGAAAATTTTGAAAAAATAAATAATCCTGGGGGTCAGCAATATGGCTCAGTGGGTAAAGGGGCTTGCCACCAAGCCCAATGGCCTGTGGTCCTTCACCAGAACCCGGGTAGTAGAGACCTGACTCCCACAAGTTGTTCTCTGCCTTTCATAAGTGTTGCACTGTCTTGGATTCATGCATACATATATTCTCTTAAAAAGTTACATAAAAGACCGGGAAGTGATGACTCACACCTTTAATCCCAGCACTTGGGAGGCAGAGGCAGGCAGATCTTTGTGAATTCGAGGCCAGCCTGGTCTACAGAGCGAGATCCAGGACTGTTACACAGAGAAACCCTGTCTTGAAAAACCAATGAAAAAAATTACATAAAAAAATTTTAAATGTAATTTATACACATGATTCTGAGTGAGTGAGCATTCCATAGCTGAACACTGAGCATTGAATTTATATTTCAAATATAAATGGATCACGGGTTTCATTAGCGTTTATGTGTGCTATTTTATTTTGTTTTATTTTTGGTCCAGTTCCATCTATTTCCAGTACATAAACTTGTGCTCGGCACACAGCAGACCCTATCTCTACTACTCTAGGTTTGACAGTGATGTCATAACTGTCTGTCTTTGCAGGTCGCTATGCCCTGGTGGTCTGTGGTGATATTGCCGTCTATCCAAGTGGTAACGCCCGGCCCACGGGTGGCGCTGGGGCTGTGGCAATGCTGATTGGGCCCAAGGCCCCTCTAGTCCTGGAGCAAGGTTTGTAACAGACGGTCCCAAGAGGCTGCGTGCGGTAGAGTCACATCATAGGTCCTAATCCTAAACTGTCATACACACGACTCAGGGCTGGGGCATGGTGGTGCTCACTTCTGAAAATCCGGCCCGGAGAGTAGCTGCTTAGGGGGAAGAGAAAAGCCAGACACCGTGGTTTCATTGTGCACTAGGATAACAGTGCATGGAGTGGGTCTGGCAGATGAGGGAACCACAGTGAAAGAAGAGATCCAGCCATGAAGCGAGGCTTGGAGAACGCTGCCTTCTAGTCTTGTTTTCAAGGAGCCCACAAAGGTGTAGAGAGAGAAATCGAAATCCTTTCTCTAAAACTCCCTTTGACTATGCCAGTGTTGAATAGGCGCTGACTTGGGCATGTTGGCAGAACAAAGCCGGTCTCTTTTCACACAGTCCCTCCCATCCTGTCTGCTTGAGGTGGCCCCTGTGAGGCAGTCCCTGACACCTTTTGTGCCTTTCCAGGGCTGAGGGGAACCCACATGGAGAACGCATATGACTTCTACAAACCAAACTTGGCTTCCGAGTACCCGCTGGTGGATGGGAAGCTCTCCATCCAGTGTTACTTTCGGGCCTTGGATCGATGCTATGCAGCCTACCGCAAGAAAATCCAGAATCAGTGGAAGCAAGGTATGGGGCTGGAGTAGGGATGGGAGCAGAAAGCAGGAGCTCTGCTCACGTGGCCAAGAGTCTTCCTTTATTTTTCCCTGTAGGGAGTACTTAGTAATGCCGTGGAACTAGTGAAAGAATATGTAGTGGAGTGAATGAGAGGGCCTTACGTGAGTGTGCTGGAGTAGGAACTATCTCTCCGGGAAGGTTATCTTTCCGGGCAGCTGAGCCGCTTGGTATCATTCCATCTGGGAGAGTGGATCTCAGTAGCTCCTTGTCACACCACCCCTCGCCTCACACTTTCTTTTCTAGCTGGAAACAACCAGCCTTTCACCCTCGATGATGTGCAATATATGATCTTCCACACACCCTTTTGCAAGATGGTCCAGAAATCCCTGGCTCGGCTGATGCTCAGTGACTTCCTGTCATCCAGCAGTGACACACAGAACAATTTATACAAGGGGCTGGAGGCCTTCAGGTGGGTCTTCTTTAAGTGGAGGCTTAGGCTTGCAGAGGGTGAGCGAGGAAGAGGCTCCCTCACACCTCAGATGTAGATTTCCCTCCTATGGGAAGCAGATGGCAACCCCCCCCCTCCCCCCGCCACCGCAGCACAGCAGAAAGGATGCTAAGCCCTTCTTTCAATAGAGGGGAGGGAAGGGGCAGGTCTGCATGGGCTCTCTGTGTATTAGGTGAGGAAAGGAAGGTAGGATTAAGAATGAAAGCTAAGCAGGGTATGTGGTATGATTTGATTTCTAGTTTTCTAATGGACCACGGAAGTGTGGATAGATGACATAACACAGTGTGTGTAAACGCTACCTCCCTCAGATGACGGGAATGTTCCTTTGAGCTCTTCCAACGTTTAAGTATTGCAGTGAAGCCATGCACCCAAAGCTTTCTCTCCTGCCATGTTCCCGCCTTCTTCTCTTGACACCTCTCACGTGAACATCTTGCTCTGCCTCACAGGGGTCTAAAGCTCGAAGAAACCTACACCAACAAGGATTTAGATAAGGCTCTTTTGAAGGCCTCTCTGGACATGTTCAACAAGAAGACCAAGGCCTCCCTTTACCTCTCCACCAACAATGGGAACATGTACACCTCGTCCCTCTATGGGTGCCTGGCCTCACTTCTCTCCCAGTGAGTACTGCCTCTCACCCACCCGCTGCTTCCCACTCATGAGCTGAGGGGCCTACCAGCTTTGGCTCCTTTTCTCATTTAAACTTTCGGTTTGTTGAGAGGTAAGCTTTTGCAATAAAGGGAGAGAGAAAGGATGGATAGAAAGGTCACACCTTGTTCCAGAGGTGGTGGTGGGGGGGCAGGTTTGCTAGCTGTGTTGAGCTTGTCCAGTGTGAAGATGTATACTGGGGAATGTGTAAGAACTACCCAGGCAGTAAGAAAATAGAATTTGTGGGCATATTTTTATCTCATCTATTTAAAAATCTCTATACTAACATAGGATGGTGGATTGGAGCCTCGCTTTAGATCCCACAACTGGGTTCAAGTCTATGTACCACTTATCTTGAAAAATAACTCCCCAAACCTGTCTGAGCCCTTACTTTCCTCATCTGTAAAATATCTATATAACAATGCCTGCTTTCTACACTGTTTCTATTCTTCGGTAATTTCATATAGTATAAAATGTGTTTAGATTATACCCACCCTCCATCACCCACTGCAAGTCCTCTTGAACCACCATCTAGCTACCTCTTTTTTTATTTTATTTTTATATAACCCACTGAGTCCAGCTAGTGCCTCCTATAACACATGGGTACAGGGACGTCCACTGGAGCATAAGCAATTCACCACGGGCCACAGCCCTGAAGAAAACTAACTCCCTTCCCTCAGCAGCCATCGACTGCCAACGGCTCCTCATAAGCCCTTTCTCTACCCACGCAGGAGTCTTGATGGCTTGACCTTATGCAGGCAACCAGAGTTGCTGGGAGTTCAGGAGCGTAAAGGCCTGACATGTCCAGGAGACACTATTTTGCAGCAGTCCAACCCGACTTCTGGATCTTACAATCTTTCTTCTTCCTCTTCTGTGATGATGCCTGAGGGGTGTGTGTGTGTGTGTGTGTGTGTGATGTAGATGTAGTCCCATCAGCGCAATAGTGGCACAGTATTATTGGAGTAACCAACAACTTTCTAATTGGATTTAAGGTCAGCTCCATAGGAGGGAACTAATGCCTGGGATTGTAAACCTGTGCAGGAACCCACGGCTGGGTAGGTCATAGGCCCTGGAGGAGAACATACTGTTACTTTGCTAAATAGACACAGTATCAGACTGCCTTCTAAATACCTATGCTTATACTCATGGATTAGTACAGCTCTCACCTCGATCAGAGAGGCTTCTTTTTACAGTGAACAGTGATCAATACAGAGATTAACAACTGGCCACAGTACAGAGGATCATTGACTATGGAGTGTTTTCCACAATTTTAAGGATAATTGCCTAAAAATATTTACGATGCTCAGAAAGTGCTCAAATGCTATTACTTTCACTGATTTTTCTGTTTTGTGGTGTTTATAAAGAAAAGGTGCGTATTATATAGAAAAGATACTTAGAGGTGAACTCGATCAAATTACTCATGGGGGATGCTCAGAAAGCTGAGTCATAGGAATGTGTGCTGGCAAATGCCTGTAATCCCAGAACTATGGAGACCTAGGTAGAGGGACTGCAGAGTTCAAGGCCAGCCTGGGCTACATAGGTATATAGGTACACCCCCCCACACACACACACAAAGCCAAACCATTGCAGTTAACTTGTGAGCCCAGAGAGTAGGTACATAAGTACAACACACACACACATACACACACACACACACACACACACACACACACACACACACACACACACACACACACGAGCGCGCGCTGGACCGTTACAGTTAAGCTGGGAGCCCTGAGGGTGAGTCCACTGGTCTAATCAGGCTACCCCTGGAAGCATCTGCCCTCACAGTTCTTCCTTCACGTTTCGGGCTGTGGCTGCTCTCCTTTTGGCAAAGCTTCTTCTGGTTCCATATCTCTAGGATTCCACCACAGGCTCCTCTTTGTGCAGAGTGCATGGAGCATATTTCTAGTTGCATAAGGTGGGCCGGGGTGAGACTGGACTGACACGTAGAAGCTTTATATGAAATGCAAAATACAATGCTAATGTGGATTTTTTTTTTTTCCACTCGCAGTCACTCTGCCCAAGAACTGGCTGGCTCCAGGATTGGTGCCTTCTCCTACGGCTCAGGCTTAGCAGCGAGTTTCTTCTCATTTCGAGTGTCCAAGGATGCTTCTCCAGGTGAGTCTCATCTCGTAGCAGGTACTCCTGAAACAGTGCCACCTGGTGAACAAAGCCACCCTGTGGTTCGCCGTGGCTGAGGTTGCTGTCTTGACAGAGTTAGGTTGTGATTAAGAGCAAAGAAAACTCCTGCGTAAGGTTATACACGGGAGCCCTTCCTGGACGGTCGCAAAAGTAGATGCAAACAAACCTGTTAGAGAGGCAATGTTAGACATTAAAGAGGTAATGGCGATTTGGCTTGGCTGCCTAAAGAGAAGTTGATGGACCCGAGACATCCAGCATCTGTTGATTGTGGTATGACCACTATGGTCAAGATCAGACATCTACGCTCCATGTCACAGACCCCGGTTGCCTGTTAGCACCCGTGACAATGACAACAGAAAGCTTTAACAATCTTGCTTTTGCTTCCCAGGTTCCGCTCTGGAGAACCTGGTATCTAGTGTGTCAGATCTGCCCAAACGTCTAGACTCCCGGAGGCGCATGTCCCCTGAGGAATTCACAGACATAATGAACCAAAGGGAACAATTTTACCACAAGGGTAAGACAGGGGACAGGAAGAGAGAAGAAAGCAATTCACCCCAGATTCCATGTCAGTACCTGGGAACCGGGGGGTTCATCAGACATCCAGGATGTAAGGGGTCAGGGTCACATTTTTTTTTTCTGAGAAAAAATATGATTGAGAGTAGTGCTTATGAGGCAAGAACTTGAGCAACCTAGCCATTTTCACAGACCCTCTTTCACGGCCATGCAGACCTCAAGTACCAGACCCAAGATGGCAGCTTCTCTGGTCCTTCTTCTATATGGTCCTGTCTTCTATGTAGTGTATTAAAGGAGTGCTTCACTGGAGTCTGTGGGCATTCCTATTACTGTATCCTTCCCTAGACACCTCTATCACTCTTTTTAAAGGTTGATTTAGGTATACAACGTTCTGCCAGAAGAGGGTGCCAGATCTCATTATAGATGGTTGTGGTTGCGGGGAACTGAACTCAGGACCTCTGGAAGAACTGCCAGTGCTCTTAACCTCTGCGCCATCTCTCCAGCCCATCCTATGGCACTCTTTATAAGAACTGTGTCTTTTTCTTTGTCCCACAGTGAACTACTCACCACCTGGTGACACAGGCAACCTCTTCCCAGGTACTTGGTACCTGGAACGAGTGGATGAGATGCATCGCCGCAAGTATGCCCGGCGCCCCGTCTAAAGGAGGCCAGTGAGTGTGCAGGGCTGGCTGCGCAAAGGCCTCTGGGTAACAGATGCAGTTCTGAGCCTGGACTCACGTCAGAGAAGGCCATAGCTTAGGGGACAGTCACCGGGAGTTACAAGCTGTGAGCTCCAGAACATGGGTGGGAGGGGCCTCCGTCTTGAAAATCTGCACTGTGGAAGTCAGACCTCTTTGAGTATTTAAGTCTCCTAGAAGCTTGAGAGAAACTAAATCAGAGACCGCAGGAGGGAGCAGGCAGCAGCAGGAACTCTGCAGCACATTGTTCCTGCACAATGAGATGGGTGACACAGATCAGTAGCCGGACTGGGAGGCAATTCCTAAGGGAGCTGGGTGGTCTGACTTCCTTGGCTGGAAGGAGCTTGCTGGGGGGGGGGGGGGGGGAGGGTTGGGGGGGGAGTAGCAATGTGACAATTCTCAGGTCGCAAGATTCCTCCTGGGGAGAAACAGCAAAGCTTGGGGAATCATCAAGGATGAGTGCGGGGAGAGAAGAGAGTGGAGAAGAGGACTGGGGGAGAGGAGAAATGGAAGGATTCCTTATGGCATTTCTTTAAGGAAAATCGAGGGTTCGGAACTGCAAGCTTGTGGTGATTCAAGAGTGTAGATGTCTGCTGTAGTGCGTCGGCCCAACAGACAAGCAATATGCAAGTGCAAGACCAATTTCTCTTACGGCCCCCAAATCTCAATGGATTTCCTGTGCTAGTTTAGTAAATGAATGAGGAAGGAGAAAAAGGTGTAACTGAGGAAAGGCAAGGAACGGAAGAGGAAAAGATGTCCACCAACACAGGAGAGGCACAGGCAGAGCACAGGTCAGGGCACTAACCACGGGTCCCCAACGAATGGAACAGTCACAACGACTCGGCCCCCTCTGTGAGGCTGCTCAAATGCTGGAGTCAGGGGTGAGGCAAAGCAGTTGACGGGCCAAGGATGCAGGATGGGCGTGAGACAGTTTCTGTCAGTAAACAGGCTCATAAGGCTTCGGCCCTAGCAGGAAACTTGCTTGAAATATGGTTCTGAGGGGTAGGCGACTGGCAAAGACAGGGCTGTTAAATCCATACAGCCAGTTGAGTCACGAGATGCAGAGAAATAATGGGCTGGGCATGATGGCTCACACCTGTAATCACAGCGCTTAGGACGCTGAGGCAGGAGAATCACATTTGAGGCCAGCCTGGGTTACACAGTGAGTTCCAGGCAAGCCAGGAGTACAGAGTGAGACCTTTGTCTTAACAAATCAAAACCAAAAGAAAAAAAAAAAAGACAAGAGAGAAGTAGATTTTCTGAAAGACGATTCCCGGCCCCAGCCCTTTCCTTTCTAAGAACCTGGACAGTGCCAAGCCACAAAGAAGGAACAGGACTCCTGAGCTGTTCACACTGAATCAAGAGCACCGAGGCTGGGCTGACATGGAGAGCTTAGGTTGATATAGCAGTCCTTGGGGCCACTGTTCCAGCCAACCCCCTGATCTCTCATCAGCAGCAGAGCATGTGACAGGGACCTGCCTGTCCCCCAGTCTTGGCTCCTGCAGAACTAGTTAATAGGCTCCCTAGGCATGGTGGCTCAGAGCTGGGAAGGCAGCAAGGGTACCAGGATCTCATAGAACAGGGGGCTTATATGCATAGCTATGTCTCTGGCAAGGGGCAAGACCTGGGGGCTAGGGAGCCAGGGTGAGGAGTGACCGAATCTGTTTCTCTTCTCTACAGATCCATGCACCAGTTCCTGGGGGAAGGAACCTGAGCAGAGCTGCTGCCCAGTGTCTGCTTAAAATTCCACCCACAGCTGTAAATAATGAATAGACAAAGTAGCCCCATAGGATCTGCTCCGAGGTGAAGGGCCGCCACCCTCAGTGGGTCCTTCGTGAGTATCCCTGCCACAGGCTCATGCTGCTGTGGACCAGGGCTCCCCTGTGAAGAGGGAGATGGAAGAAAGGAGGGTCGCTGACCCCCAGTGGAAGCAGATCAGACGTCTTCTCCCACATCCAGACAGACCCACCATTTGTTACAGCTTATTATCAGACTTCTCTGCTGTTATGTTTTATGCTCATTTCTTAAAGTTTCCTGAGAATTTCTAAATTTTGTATCTTGTTCTAAAATAATATATGGCAATTAAAATGAGAGAAGAAATGATGTATATTTTCTAGAAGTCAAGACCTACTCAGAGTGCGGGGCACTCATCTCATTACCCCAACCCTTCCATTCAGTCTAATTCTCCATAATTCTGTCCAATTCTGCCAAGTACTATGGCAGATACAAGGAAAATAAAGTGATCTGGAGGTTCCCCCTGCTCACTTCTCTATCCTACAGACACCATATCCAGGCAGGCCCAGGAGGTGCTTGGTAAATCAACCCCCCTTGGCACATGTGGCCAGTGTTACCTAGACCAAACATAAAAACAAAACTCATAACGTTGGCCGGGCATGGTCATGTACATCTGAAGTCTCAGCACTTGGGAGGCTGAGGAAGGGTGAGTTCAAGGCCAACTTGGGTTATGTGGGGAGATCTTATCAAAACAAAAGGATGAGGCAGAGGTGGGATACTCTCTGCCTTGGGTAAAGAGAATGTAGCTTTTCCAGGGTCCTCATGAAGCAGCAATGGTTTAGGGATGTGAGCACGGAGTACAAGAGGGGAGGAAAGTGGGGGAAGGCAGGAATAGGAAGGACAAGGGGTTGTAGTCCTTCATTTTATTTTAGAAAAAGTTTTGAAGAGAGGTTCTGTAGAGGGAAGCCAGCAGGCTGGGGAGCCTCGGGGACACAAAAGAAACGAGGTGACAACCATGTCACTCTGCCACCAGTAAACCCGGGCAAGGCCCAGGCTAGGCAGTTAATCCAACGCCAGCCTACCCCAGCTCAGGCCCTCCTCAGCACGCAGCATGGGGCCCTCAGCCAGAAGCTCCTGCAGGACCACACTCCCCTCTTAGATCACTGCAGTGACATCTGTCTGCAGGGAAGAGAAGCCAATGGTCACCTGGCTCAAGACAGGGACACCGAACCCATGAAGAGCTCACCGCAGGGTCTTGGCAACCAGGACTCTCTTCCCTTTGTCCCATCGCTGGTTCCTGGCCTACCTCTACCAGAGGTCATCTGGGTACAACTAGGACTGATCTCAAAGTGACAGTGTAGGGCTGGGAAGATGGCTTAGTAAGATTTAATGCCCCTGCTGACAATCCTGGTGACCCAAGTTCCATCCCTGGGACTCACGGTTGCAGAGAACCAGTTCCTACAAGGGTCCTCTTGTTACCAAACTTGGAGTCACAGCCTATACCACAAGAAACCAAGTTTAGACACCTGTCCTCAAGAAGTCACACGGGCACTGTGGCATGCATGCTCTACCCCCCAATAAAATGTAATTTAAAATTGTGTCAAGGTGCTGGCTAAGTGAATGATTGCTGTCACCACACAGCGGCTGAAGGCCCAACTTCAGGTTACAAGCAGAGCACACTGGTCATCACTATCCACCCATACCCCCAAGTCTACCACCACCACCACCACCACCACCATCACACACATACATACACACACACACACACAGGTCCCTCGCTCTTTTTCTCATCAGCCTTTATAGGGCCCGAAGAGGTCTTCCTTTGACTCTTCTGAGATACTCTTCATTCAAACTGACACTCCAAGAGTCAGCATTTAAGGCCAACGCTTGCCCTGACTCCAGACAACATATTCACAAGTGAAACTCCACTCTAAAGTTACAGGGAATGGATGCCACAGGTAGAATATCACAGAGAATGGCACTGATTGGGCAAACGCTTTCTTAAGCTCACAAGATATATCCAAAGGGACTTCCCAAACACCAACATCCTCTGCTCCAACTACTTCCTCCTCAGACCCAGGAGAATCCCTACTCCCTGTAGCATATAACCTATGTGTTTAGCCACGCCCCCAAGACTTCTGGGGCAGGATGGTCCACTTTGAATTCTCTGAAAGCAAGGCACCACTCAATCTTAAAGTTAATTCTAGATCCAGAGTGCAGCTAGCTGGAGAGGCATTGCTTAGAATGAGTGGATGATGCCTTGGGTTTGATATCCAGCAACAAGGGGAAAAAAAAAATCAATCCTTTTTCAATTTGTGGGGAGTCACACGCTGCAAAGAAATGCTCCCATACTCTCCCATATGACCCCCCTGAAGGTATTTCCAAGTCAGGGCCCAAGCATCCTAGCATGCACTGCGCTTTGTCTGGAAACGGAACCCATTTTCCCCTGCATGTTTAACTTCACCCACCTCTGCCTGCTTTCCAGCTATGGGTGTGACCCCTCTGAGACACTCTTCATTCAAACTGAGTCCAGGAGTCAGCATTTTAAGCCAACACAGCTATTTCCTTTCCAATAAGAAAATGGGTGGTCTGATATCAGGATCCCCAGCAAGTTGGACATCACTGGAGAGCGTGCCAAGGGGCTGCCTGCCTGCTCTGTGAAGCCTGTGTGCCCACACATCACCCTTGTATTTATATATTCACTGAGCTCTCACTGCTGTGCTACAAAGCATCATGTCCTTCACACAGATGAACCAGCAGAGCTCATGGTCATCACCGCTGTGTTCCAGGTCAGACCCTCTGCTCTGGTCTGGGCCCATCTCTTTCAAGGTCTGCTACAGGAAGGCCAGGATCTGCTGTTCTGAGAGGGGAGCAGGCCTTGGCTCCTGGAGTTCTAGACTTTCAGGAAGCCAAGGCTGGGACTTAGCCTCTGTACCAGGCAGCAGGCAGCCTGGAAACAAATCCTTCCCCACTAATGGGGCGAGAAGCTCTCAATAGACACAGTTGTTAGAGTGGAGTTCATTCTACCACCTTCCATGAAAATCATGTAAAACATTGTCCAACTCACACCAAGCTTGCTGTGCGCAGCTGCTAAGTAAACACATTCCTTTGGCTCACAAAATCAGTCCAAAGTAACTCCTGAGACATCCCCTGCTCAAATCGCTTCCTCCTCAGACCCAGGAGAATCTGCACTCCTGCAGCGTGTGACCTGCGTGTGTGGTCACACCCAGAAGACTTCTGGTGCGGGACGGTCCATTTTGAATTCCCTGAAAGCCAAGCACCAGCCAGGGCCTGGCCTACACTCTGCTGCCTTGCAGTCCTTACTGTGCACTCCTAACATGAAAGGGTTCTGGAACACTCCTAGCTACGGTCCTGGGAAGATGCCTCTGGATAATCTTTGAAAGGAAGGGAGGGGGCTGTCTTTAGGACACTCAAGCCAGCCTTCCTCTACACACCCTACTGGTCAGCTACCAAAACTTCCAGAGGCAGCCCGTGGGCACCCTCTGCTGACGTTTCTGGATAATGACTGCACAGACACCACGTAGAGTTAAGACTCTTTACTAAGATGTTATTTCGGGCAGGTACCCAGGATCTGCCCCAGGAATGTGGAGCTCCTCTCCCTATAGATGACAGCGAGCGGGTTTCTTCAGAAAAGCCCCGGGGGCTGACGCCGCTGAGCCCCAGGGTCAGAAGCAGAACTGGAAGGCCTCAGACACGTGCTGCTTCCATGCGTCCAGGCTGGGCAGCAGGGACGAGAGGCCCATGACATGCCAGGTCTCTCCGCCAGACACCTTGGAGGTTTGGTAGGAAAGCAGCTGCACACCGGCCTCTGCCAGGAGGCCTGGGGAGGGGGCGGGGCGGGGAGAAAAGCACAGGTTAGCATGGCACATGGGGGAAGGGGTGAGAAAGCAAGAGTCCAGAGCAGAGAGAAGTCAGGCTTCTGTGACCAAAGCCGCAGGGCGGAAGGAGGGGCGGGGCTGGTCTCCATAGTAAGGAGCTGACAAAGCAGGGCAGGTGACTTTCCTTGGCCTCGGCCTCTTCTCAGCCTGAGCATCAGGTGGCAGGAGTTGGGGGGGACTCTCATACCCAGACAGTGTCTAGGCCAATAGCAAGATAAGCAGAGAACCTCCCTCTGGGCAGCTGGCGAAATGGTGAAATAAAGCCTCCCAGGGTCTGGGGACATACCCTCTGCCAAACCTGGACGAGACCCAGAACCCTCAGCAGCTGGGGGTTGCACCACAGGAGGGATGCTCTGACACACTGTGCTGTGGTACACTAAGCTGGTCACCAGGGCCCGTAGAAGGAACAGTCCATGAATATATAGACAGTGTGTGGGAACATGATGGACCTGGGCTGTGGCCGGGGGCAGCTGGCACTCCGCCCACCTCTGCCCATACTGCTCTGTGACCTCGGATAAGCCACTGACTTCCCCTGTCCCCTGTCTGAGCTGTTTCTTCCTATGATTGTGGAAATGGTTCTGCAAGACCCTCTGTGATGTACATATAGACATGCCCTGAGGCACAGAGAAAGGCCCAAAGGAAACATCTCCCCAAGGCCCAATCTCAGGGAAGACCCCCATCTCTGCCTCAGCAGCCTGGCCAGCCTCCCTCCAAAAGTTTCCTTACCAATCATAGTGGGCAGCATTACAGGGTTGGAGGGCTGAGCCCGGAACATGAGTAGGGGCTGGCCCCGGCGTAGTGGCACCTCTGGCCTGAAGACGGCTCCGTTGAGCACCTGCAACATTGGTGTGGTGCCCTGGACCAAGCCCACAGCTTGGTAGGGGGCCCCTGCCAGGGCCACAGTCAGGAGGCATTCTCCACTGCCCTGCTCCCCTGGGACCACAGGGCTGTGGGAGGTAGTGACCTGCAGAGGGGAGACAGAGGCACAGTTGAACTCTCTACCCTCTCCCACAGCCTAATTACACATGTACAAGGAATCTAGCCTGGCCACCAGGTCAGTAGTCTGGGGCTGGGGACAAATGACGTGAACCTATGTCTCCAGACTTAAGCTTCTCAGGACGGTCAATATGCCCCATAAAGGGAGGACCAGGGGTCTGCCCGGCTGGCCAGGAAGGATGGGAAGTGGGAAGCAGAGGTCCAAGCACTGGGTAGCTGACCAGTCTGACCCTTTCTGCTCCAGCTTCTCAGTCAATGGCCTGGGCAGGATGCAGGAAAAGAGGGAAGTGGGGTAGTGCTGGGAGAACTCTGTTCTTATGGCCTCGGCCAGTTTCAACTGGCTAAGACATACTCTTTGATCCAAAAGGGGAATGAGGGAGGAAGCCACTGGAGGGAAGCCGGGGGGTGGCGAAGGAACATGTTCCCAGGGTTTATAAGCCTCTCTCAGCTCTGTTCAGATATGGCCTAGCTCAG